GTGATTTTGTTCCAGTGGGAACCCATCAGTTAATTGTCGCCGGATTCAGACTGTCTAAGGGTGTATCTGTGCTGAGACTAGTGCCTTGCCTTCGAGAACTTACATCAGGAGTGGTAGTGCATAAGCTGGGTGAGTGTAACCACCTATCTATGTTGAGCTGCGGAGCATGAGTTGGTGAACTCAGTGTGGTGATGACTTAATGATGAGGTTATGGGGTGATAAGGGAGCAAGTGGATCCGGGTGGGAGTAATCGCTTGGGCTTATCAGGAGAAACCATGGAGTGAGCCCATGGTGAGTCAGTAAGCGAGAGAGTGTTGTAAGACTACGGGGAGCCGTAGCATCCATGAGTCAGTGGAAGAGAGTGTCATGATACTACAGCGAGCCGTAGTATTCACTGGATAGTGGGAGGGAGTTGTGATACTACGGGGAGCCGTGGTATTCACTACTCAGCTAGAGAGTGTCGTGATACTGTGGGGAGCCGTAGTATTCACTGGTTAGAGCGAGAGTGTCGTGATACTGCGGGGAGCCGTAGTATTCACTGGTTAGAGCGAGAGTGTTGTGATATTGCGGGGAGCCGTAGCATTCACGAGTCAGTGAGAGAGTGTCGAAAGTCTACGGGGAGTCGTAGCATTCATGAGTCAGTTAAGGAGCATCTTAAGACTACGGGGGGAACCGTAGCACTCAGTAGTCGATATGGGTGAATACTGTTCTGTCGGGAGCAGTAGTATTCACTAGTTAGAGTATGGCGCAGAGAAGTTCTTAGGCTTGGGTAGCTTTACCACTTGAGTCTTCAGGAGCCTGGTTGTCGAACCAGTGGCGAGACGGGGGTCTCCGTGTCGGTTGGGAATCGTTGTATTCCTGGGATGAGGAGGGATTATCGAAATTGGAAGGAATTAAAGAGATGGTGTGTGCATAAATCCACGAATTTTGGGTCATGAGTTGAGTACCAGATTGGAAATGAGTGGTTCCAATTCTGCTGTTGAATCAGACTCTCGAGCTCGAGTCTGGATCCATTCGTGTATTGAATAGGCGAGATGAGGTTTCGGATTCGTGGATGGGTTTCGTTTTGAGGGGGTATTGACCTTCAACTGATATCTTAGGCCGGAGTGGATCAGTTTCGTTGGTATGGGAAGAACCGCGAGACGCATGGAACGAGTGGGTGGTTGTCGACAGAGGTCGGAGGTGAGACGATTTCAGATGAGTTGTAGCATTTGCTTGGGGTAAAGCGAACTTCGCGACTTACGTGTCGCGATGAGTCGAGATAGTTATCATGAGAAGGAAGTCGATGAGACGTTTTTGGTTTGCAATGAGTAACCTTTGGAGGTTCATCTTTTGGGTCGGGAGATGACCTGATGCTCAGTGTTGAAGGGTATAATGGAGAGGAAGCTGTGGCGTATGTTTGTAGATATCAGAGGATACTTCCAAGCGAGCATGATCTTTTTTTGTGTTTGAGTTTTGGGGTTCTTTTCTTCCGATGAGTTCTAATAGCTGTTCAGGCGGTAGGTCCTTAGGGATTATGACCTTTCCGTTCCTTTTGAGTTGCGCTCGGAATCGATTAGAGAATCAGAGTTGGAAGAGTGTTCTTAGAGTCTGATAGTCGATGGACGACTAGCAGGATGATGTTTTGCGAGGTTGGTCTGGCAGGGAGATAGACCACTAGAGTTTCAAGTTCTGGAGAGTCAGATCGAGTATCACCGTGGCAGTTGGGCCTGTCCTTCTTCGGGGTCGGGAGTCCCTGCCGGGTTCAGGTGCTTTTGGATGAGATTGTTGTAGTTTATGGGGCGATTCAGTGGTACTTCTCGGGTTTGGGTTCGATCTATGTGTTCATAAGGAGCGATTTCGAGGGCGAAATCTGATTCAAGTGGGGGAGAATTGTAACATCCTGTTTCAGATTGTCCGTGATTAGGGTTCGTGGGTTGCAAACCGGGCATGAGGAGGTCTCGGGGTTGCGACGAGTTGCTAGAAGCTTAGGGCATCTCGTCACCTTTCCATGGGTTTGAGGTTCATGGGCATCGGGGTTATATCGAGGAAGCGATGGATGTTTGAAGTTGTGGCAGGATAAGTCCCTTAATTGAGAAAGGTGGCAGCTGAGTACGCTGGGCGTACATATGTGTACGCTTAGCGTACTCATGTGCGTGATTTTCAAGCGGAGCCACCTATTACGCTGGGCGTACCAGAGGGTACGCTGGGCGTACTAGGCCCAGAGTGAAAACCCTAATTTAGGGTGAGTCCCCTATATAAAGGATAAGATAGCCTCATTTCTGGCCACCATTCTCAGACATCAAACCCTTAGTGTGCCCTAACCCTCGTTTTAGAGCTTGTGAGTGCATTTGTGAGCCTTTGAGAGTGTTTGTGTGTTCTTGAAGAGAAGAGAAAGCTTTGGAGAAGAAGGAGTGGGAGTCCAAGCTTTTGGATCTGAGCAAATCTGAGTTGGGAGCTTCATGTAGAGGCATAAAGCTTCAAACTTTACCACTCTTTTGTTATGTGCATCATAGATGAGACTTTTAGGGTTTTGTCCCAAAAAGGTGGAGACTTTATGAGATCTTGAGTTCCAGAGACTAGGACCAACCCCTTTTGAGTATATTAGTGGTGTAATGTCATAAAAATCGAATCTTGGTCATTGGAATCAAGCCATGCATGTGTTATGAGCTTTTTGAGATAAGGGAGTGAGTGTTTTGGGTGTTTGTGACCTTTGCAGCCATGCAAAGGCTTAAAGTCACTGACTTTATGGAGTAAGAGCCATTAGGGAGTCCAGATCTGGGATTTGAGTTAATGTCCTAACTGATTCAGACCAAAGGAGTGGAAAGAGTGAATCGGGGGAGTACGCTGAGCGTAATTCCTGTACGCCCCCCGTACTGCCCCAGCGTTCCCGATGGCCAAATCTGGATTGTGAGTACGCTGAGCCTACTGACATGTGTGTGGTATTTTGGGGAACTCACTAAGCTTCGTGCTTATCGTGTTATGTGTTATGTGTTTCAGGTTTTTCTCCGGATCGCGGGAAGGCAACGGATCGATTGTACACACCAGAGAAAGGGTTATCTTTTGAGGATCATGGATTATTAATCAAACAATTATGGAGATGCGTTTTCTAAACTAAATAAATGAGATTTTGTGAAATGCGTTATGAGAATTATATGATTTTAAAATGAAAAATTTGTTTGGAAATTTACGGTGTTACATCTTGAGCTTGGTTCTTGGTTACAATATAAAAACAAAGAAACACTCTTTTCTCTTCCATTCACAGCTAAAAATACACACACTCGTTTGTTCTTTCTTCATCTTTTTCTGGTTCGAGGTTTGGATTTGTGTCTCGGTTGTAACAGGTAGGGCAGAAGTGGTGGTGCTGTTGGTTGGAATGAAAACGAAGAAGTTGCATCAGGGATTAACGCACACAAGCTGTTTGATGAAAATCCTCAAAGAGTTCATTGTTGTTCTTGTCTTAAGAACAGGGGTTGTGGTTTACCTATGTTCTATATAACTATCTGCTGGCTCTTGTTGACTTCTAATTTGGTATATGCTTGTTGGTTGTGGTTTATCTATGTTCTGAATTGTTCTGTGTTCCTAAAATTTGTATCTAGAATATATATGAGACACATTGTTTTTATGAATCTAGGTGCTTGATTGACATTTCTTTTTGGTTTACATGTTCTCCGCTTTAGATCGATGTAGGTCTATTTTTTATATGGTTCTATGAAGTCTTGGTTAGATTGTTCTATGCAAAATTCTTGAAGAAACCTAAATATTTCTTAAAAACATCAATTTTAGTTGATATAATGTTATATTTAATGTTATACGCTTAGGATTAATGTTATATTTATTAATTTTTTAATAATAATGGTCCCCGATTAATCCCCGCCTAGCTATTAATCCCTTGACCCCAGTCCATCGATTAGCCTACGTCGAGCGTTTTCTACAACCATGGCTAAAAGTAACAAATTGGCCCTAATATTAGAAAAATGATTAGTTGAAAAATTCATCTCAAGGCATAAGGCAAAAGTGTTGAACCCTGGACATGCAGCCAACAATGCGTATGTCTTTACACCAGCTGATCTAGAAGACATATTGTTAAACTTTTACGTAAAACATATTAGTTAAAAATTAATAGTAAGGAGTAGGAATCGAACCCCGGGCGTTTGGCAGGAAACATCAACAGGCGCCACATAGCGCCAGTTGAACAAGATATAGTTAATTACTTTCTTTGCGTAAAAAATATATAATATATAATAACTATATAAATTGGCTAAAAATCGGGCCCCATTTTTTCCGGGGCCCTGTACGGTTTCCCACCTTGCACACCCTCAGGGTCGGACCTGAGTTAGAGCTAGGATTAATCACATCTTAGTTAATAGTAGTTAAAACTAGTAGCTTTGGCTATGTTAGAGAGCATAATTAGTATTAATTTATGTGGTTGCTCAACTAGACCATGGAAGAGTAACTAATATCATTCATAGTCCAATTGTACTCTTATCAATTTAGTGTTTAACTTGAGCATGACCATTGCCTTGTCATAAATAAATCGCTAGGCCTCGTAATTTGACCATAAGAGTTAGATAATTGGTAATCAATATAATCTATCCACTAGAAATCAACCATAGGATAAAGTGAAATCGAATATAGACAGAAGTATTCTTTTAATTCTTGAAGTTGCTTTCTTTTCGTTGCTAGCTACTTGTTAGTTGATAGTAAGTGATTCTGATCTTGCAAAATCATTGAAAACCCCCCAAATCATAGTTTATTTAATAGGTTAATTAGAAGTAGTTAAATTTTATTAATTGAACTACCTTCCCTGTGATCGACACCCGACTTACCTAAGCTATTCTATAATCTGACTAGGTTTACTGCTTATAGGTGCATAGATAGTAAAAGTTTGTTAGGTTATAAATTTAAAACGAATATGTACTTTTGTGCACATCACTCGCATCCTCCCATCAGTTGGAAGAATTCGAGGCATAGGTCCGTGAACCAGGAACCGGGCAACCCTCAATGTCAAAGTCCTTGTATTATGCGTAAAATGGTGCTTTGATCCAATCAATTTTTTCGAGCCCACCCCTTGTAGCCCAATCATCTGCTTCCCATAATGTAGAGTAGACTCCCATTGGATAGAACTTGGGGAATGAGAGCCCTGTGGCTTCTTTGTTCTTGAATACCCTTATGGGTACTTCATCCATAGAATACCTGTATGATCACATTTTTCATTGTTAAGTTATATTATAAAAGTTATGATGCATCCAATTTCCATACATATAATTTAAACTTTTATATATATATATATATATATATATATATATATATATATATATATATATATATTAAAAAGGGATCAAAACAAGTTTCGTTCAATCATGTAATTTGTTTAAAACATTTAAAATATGTCCGGAAGGATCAGGTTGCTTACTCATAAACATTTTTTCCATTTTTTAATTTTAATAACTAACCAATATATTAAATTCGGTTAATAAAGTTATTATTAATATGATAAACTACTTTTTTGTTAATCTAGTTTAATAGGTTGTAAGTCTATCTAGGCCTTCGGTATGTCTATCTAGTTGTATCTTTTTTTTATTTTTAAATATCCATTAAAAACCTTAAATAAAATTATAACCTAGATTGACCGATTAGTAATATATATATATATATATATTATATATATATATATATATATATATATATATATATATATATATATATATATATATATATTTGACCTCTCCCATCTACTTACACAACACGGTTATGGTTCCATAAGATGGAGTAAGTGTGATAGTCTACAGGAGGGTCGAACCATAAATGGACCCCTTGTTCTCTATCTCTTTTTCCATGAGCATACACATTGGTTTGGACTGAGTAAAGGTTCCCCAGTACGGTTTCCCAAGAACTCAAAATCCAGTTCATCACGCACTTGATTGTCGAAGAATGTGTCATTATGATCATGTACTAATGCAATCTTTATCTTGGGTGTAATGTGTGATTTATGTGATGGATATAAGTTTGATATTTATATACATATATTCACATCTTCATGATTTTGGGTGTCTCTGTTATCCCAACACATTTGCCACTGCTAGACATAAAATCTCTCCTTGCTCCTCTGCTAGTGTTAATCTCGATCCATATGTTAATCATCGTGGTTATTAATGTTAGTGATTTTATATCACTAATGTTATTTAAGTGTAATGGGATTAAATTGTTGATCAATATCACTTTGACAATTATTGAACAAATCGGTATGGTGCGGAGTGCACATTTGTTTAATATTGTCTTTGTTGAAAGTACACTGCTATTTAGGGGCGAAGCCCCTGAACCGACGGGGGTCCGGGGCAGCGCCCCTGGGAGCGGGGTCCAAGGGGCAGAGCCCCTGGCTGGGGTCGAGCTGTTGTTGGTTTATTCTAGACCCGAATTTAAGTTAGTTTATGACGTTTTGACAGTTTTAGGACATAAAACTGTCATGTGGCAGTTGTAAGACTGGAAGTTTTTCTGGTTATTGATCATATCCGAAATCTGTTGTTGGTACACTTCCTCTTCATAACATCTTGAACATTCTCTCCTTCTGTTTTTATCAATTCTGAGTCTTATCCGATTAAAGATTGGGAGTACCACCCAAATACTTTAATCTGAAAGTGAAAACCCCAATTCTCAGAATTTCCAAGCCTTTTCAATACCCCAAATTTCTTACAAAGATTAAAGTATTTTTGTGATCATGGCAAGTGGTGATTCTATGAAGGAAATGACAAGTAAGTTTGAAAAACTGAACAAGTTTGAAGGGAAAGATGTTCGTAGATGGCAGAAGAAGATGAAGTTTCTCCTTACCACTCTGAAAGAGGTGTATGTTCTGAGTACACCCATGCCAGTCTTACCAGAATCTGTTGAAGATGAACCTTTGGAGGAAACAAGAAGAAGATCAAAGTGGGAAAATGATGATTACATATGTCGTGGTCATATTCTCAAAGGTATGTCTGACTCTCTTTTTGATATCTATCAAAATTTCGAATCTGCAAAAGAACTGTGGGATTCTCTTGAATCCAAGTACATGGCTGAAGATGCTTCTAGCAAGAAGTTTCTTGTTAGTAACTTAATGGGTTACAAGATGATTGACTCTAGGCCTGTTATGGAACAATTCCATGAAATGTTAAGGATTTTGGGACAGTTTGCTCAACACAATTTGAAAATGGATGAAGCCATTTCTGTGGCTGTGATCATTGACAAACTGCCCCCTTCCTGGAAGGATTTTAAACACAATCTGAAACATAACAAAGAGGAATTGACTTTGACTCAACTTGGAAGCCATTTAAGGATTGCAGAGTCCATAAGGACTCAAGAACTTGACAACAATCCTAAAGGCAAGAACCAAGTTGGTTCCTCTTCTGTGAACATGGTGGAAGGAGAAAGTTCAAAGAATCCCAAGAAGTCTAATGGAAAAAGGAAGTTTAAAGGAAAAGATGACAAGTCTTCCAACAAGAAGGCTAAGTTGGTTTGTTGGAATTGTAACAAACCGGGTCACTTCAAGAAAGATTGTCGTCTTCGCAAAGTGAACAAAGATGGTACTGGACCAAGTGGATCCAAGGATCCAGAAAAGCAACAAGGTCATATTTCTGTTTCCATGTAGAATTCTAAATATGTTTAGAATTATATTTCTGTGATTTCTGAAGCATTTTATGTGCAGGATGATGATGTTGCATGGTGGGTTGATTCGGGAGCAACAAGCCATATATGTAAGGATCTTCGTTGGTTCAAGGAATGTCAACCAATTGAAGATGTATCTGTGGTGAAAATGGGAAATGTTTCAACTGAACTAATCAAGTGTTTAGGATCTGTTTTACTTTACTTTACTTCTGGAAAGTGTTTGTGTCTAAACAATGTTTTATATGTACCAGGATTTTGAAAGAATCTTCTGTCTGAAATTGTTTTAAATAATTGTGGTTACAAACAAGTATTAGAAAGTGACAAGTATATGTGTCAAGACATGGTTCTTTTATGGGATTTGGATATGGATGCAATGGAATGATTAGACTTAATATTAATTATCCTTTTATTGATAATTCTGTTTGCATGGCTTCTACTAGTACTAGCAATAATTTTAATAAATCTGAATTATGGCATGCTAGACTAGGACACATTCATTACAAGAGATTAAAAGACATGTCTAAAATGAGTTTAATTCCTGCTTTTGATATGAAAAATAATGAAAAATGTAAAACATGCATGCTAACTAAAATCACTAGACAACCTTTCAAAGATGTTGTTAGGGGAAGCAAGGTGTTGGATCTTATACATAGTGATTTATGTGATTTCCATGTAACACCTTCCCTTGGAAACAAAAAGTCTGTTGTTACTTTTATTGTTGATGCATCTAGATATTGTTATGTCTATTTGCTACATTCTAAGGATGAAGCACTTGATAAATTTAAAATTTATAAACAACAAGTTGAGCTTCATAAAAATGAATTAATAAAAGTCTTGCGTACTGATAGAGGTGGTGAGTATTATGATCCAGTTTATTTTGAATCAACTGGAATAATACATCAAACCATAGCTCCTTATACACCACAACAAAATGGTGTAGCTGAAAGGAAGAATAGGACTTTGAAAGAAATGGTTAATTCCATGTTGTCCTATTCTGGATTAAGTGAAGGGTTTTTGGGTGAGGCAATGTTAACTGCATGTTACATCTTGAACATAACTCAAAATAAAAGGAGTAAGAATACTCCTTATGAACTTTGGTGTAAAAAGGTACCAAATTTGAGTTATCTCAAAGTTTGGGGGTTGTAGAGCAGTAGTAAAGCTCACTGAACCCGAAAGGAAAACATTGGGTGAGAGAGGTGTAGATTGTATCTTTATTGGATATGGTGAGCATTCCAAAGCATATAGATTCTATGTTTTAGAATCTAATGACTCTGTGTCTGTAAACACAATGATAGAGTCAATAGATGCTATCTTTGATGAAGAAAGATTTACATCTATCCCTAGACCAAGGGACATGATTCATCAATCTTCCAGCAAGAGTATTACTCAAGCTGAAGATGTTTCTGGTGGTGCAAGTTCTGTACCTGAACCTAGGAAAAGCACAAGAGCAAGAAAAGCCAAGTCTTTTGGATATGATTTTCAACTTTATCTAGTTGAAGGAACAAGGAATGAGACTATATGTCAACATCAATATTGTTTTAGTATTGAGGAGGATCCAAAGAGTTTTAGTGAAGCTATGGCTTCCAGGGATGTTTATTTCTAGAAAGAAGCAATTCAGAATGAGATTGATTATATCATGCATAACAATACTTGGGTATTGTCGGATTTACCTCCTGGATGCAAGGCATTGGGTAGTAAGTGGATCCTAAAAGGAAAATGAAGGTGGATGGCACAATTGATAAGTATAAAGCCAGATTGGTTATCCAACGCTTTAGGAAAAAGGAAGGCATTGACTTATTTGATACTTATGCTCCTGTTGCTAGAATTTCCACTATTAGATTATTGTTAGCTCTTGCAGCTATACATAATCTTGTGATTCACCAAATGGATGTGAAAACTACATTGTGACTTAGATGAGGAAATTTACATGAAACAACCTGAAGGGTTTGTTATGCCTGGTAATGAACATAAGGTGTGTAAGTTGAAGAAATCATTAAATGGTTTGAAACAAGCACCAAAACAATAGCATCAAAAGTTTGATGATGTGATATTGTCTAATGGTTTTGCATTAAACCATGCTGATAAATGTGTATATAGCAAATTTGATTCTTCTGGTAAAGGAGTTATAATTTGTCTATATGTTGATGATATGTTAATCTTTGGTACTGATCAAGGTGAAGTTAATAAAACCAAGAAATTCTTATCATCTAGTTTTGACATGAAAGACATGGGGGAGGCTGAAGTAATTCTTGGTATAAGAATTAGAAAAGGAAACAACGGGATTTCAATTTCTCAATCTCATTACATTGAGAAGATATTGAAGGAGTTTAACTTTGAGAATTGTTCTCCTGTTAGCACTCCTATAGATCCTAGTCTTAAGCTTTTACCTAATAAAGGATCTCCAGTGTCTCAACTTGAATACTCAAGGGCTATTGGTTGTCTAATGTATGGCATGATTAGTACTAGGCCTGATATAGCATATGCTGTGGGAAGGCTTAGTAGATATGCTAGTAATCCTAGTTCACATCATTGGCAAACTGTAAGTAGAGTATTCAGGTATTTGAAAGGGACCATGAATTATGGTTTAACTTATAGTGGATATCCTTCTGTTTTGGAAGGATATTCAGATGGCAGCTGGATTAACAACTTAAAGGACCACTCCTCTACAAGTGGTTGTGTGTTTCTTCTTGGAGGAGGTGCCGTTTTTTGGGTATCTAAGAAACAGACTTGTATTACTAACTCAACCATGGAGTCTGAGTTTTTTGCATTATCTGCTGCTGGTAAAGAAGCTGAGTGGCTAAGGAATTTGATTTATGAAATTCCGTTATGGCCCAAACTGATATCTACCATTTCTATCAGATGTGATAGTGCTGCAACCTTGGCTAAGGCTTATAGTCAAGTGTATGATGGAAAGTCTAGACATTTAGGTGTTAGACATAGCATGATTTGTGAGCTCATCATGACTGGTGTGATATCTGTGGAGTTTGTAAGAAATCAGTTGAATTTAGCCGATCATCTAACCAAAGGTTTAGCAAGAGATATTGTGCACAAGGCAGCTATAGGGATGGGTTTAAAGTCCAGTTAAAATATTTTATATTGAGATACCCAATTCCCATCTAATGTAATGTTAGATGTTGAATTCAGTGTGGAAAGCTTGATATTTGAAGATTGGAACACATTATATCATCATCCCAAGGTATGTGTTCAGTACTGCAAGTTAAGGAGGTTGAATTTATATTCTTAATAGTTCTTTTGAAAATTTGCATTTACAGGTGCAAGAATAAAAGGACTACCTATATAAG